AGCCCACGGAGGGAGGAGTCGATCCCTTCAGCTAAGCGGGAGATGGACGCCAGGCTCTCCCCGCTGCCCAGGGAGGCAGAACAGTCCTCCAGGAGCGAAGTTTTAACTCCAGCCTGCCCGGGCCCGCTGAGGCTCAGATTGCCAGGCCACTGCCTCTCGGAGGAAGACCACAGCACTGCCCAGCCGGGCCCAGCCCCAGAGTGGAGGAAGGGGGGTTCCCAGAGCAGCTGCTGGTGAGCACGCTGCAGAGAGTCCCAGTGCCAGGCCTACCCCGGGGCTCCAGCTTCTTCTCCTCAAATCTGAAGGGCATGCCTCTGCTTCACAGACCCCAAGCGAGGCAGAAAGGGCAGATTCTTCACATTTTACAGATGGGAACACCAAGTCCAGGAGGAAAGATAAATAAAAGTCAACGAGCTGAAACCGGTTTGGCTCTGCATAGAGCGTCAGCCTGCGGACTGAAAGGTCCCAGGTTTGATTCCGGTCAAGGGCATGTACCTTGGTTGTGGGCACATCCCCAGTAGGGAGTGTGCAAGAGGCAGCTGATTGATGATTCTCTCTTACCGATGTTTCTAACTCTCTATCCCTCTCTCTTCCTCTCTGTAAAAAATCAATAAAAATACAAAAAAATACGGGGGAAAAAAAAGTCAACGACTTACCTAGGTCACTCCGCTAGAAAGTAGATACAGCTCAAAAGCTGCCTCCTCACTGTCCAGCCCACAGCTGAGCAGTGCCATTCATCTTCACATGCCACTGGCCGGGGCGCGGAGCACTCCCGCTGCAGGTGCAGGTCCGTGCTGCTCCAGCACAGCCGCCCTTGCTTCATCGGGCCCCAAACTAATGGTGTAAGGGAGGAAATGGATGTGGAGACAACGAATGCCCCACCCGATTTGGGCAGAGAGGACTCTGCTTTCATGGGAGCTAAGACAAAGCAGCACACAGGTTTGCACCAAAGATTCTCAAAGCACTGCTCTGCACAGTCTCCTGGGGACTCTGATGACCAACCAAGAATGGGACCGCTGTTTAGACAGCCATCACTTCTCCCTCTATTCCCAGTGACAAAGCAGGGCCCTGAGAGAAAAGGGAATGTAAGTAAGGACACCGAGCAGCCCACAGGGCAGAGGCTTGTGGTCTCACCGTTCCACCAGGGTTTCCGGGCCCTGCTGGATGTCACCAAGCTGTGACAAAGCACAAAGCAAGGATCAGAGCGTGGCCAGCTCTTCAACACCCTGCGAAGGCGATCCAAGTGAAAAATGCCATGAACAAAGGGGTTCTACCCCCTTCTACAGGCAGAGAGCCAGCTCTGCACTCACGCCTGTTCTCCATGCAACTCCATCCTTCCTAACCTTACCAGCCCTCCTTTCCGCACCCCTAGACCTGCAAGCCCAGCCCCAGACCCGGAAGTGGAGGTGGGAGGGCAAAGCCACAAGGGGTGCCTCTACATGCTCCTGCTTCCAGGCAAGGCCCCTAGTGGCCACATACAGGTAGAGGAGCACAGGGAAACCCAAGGTCTGATGTGCCAGGGCAGGTCTGATGAAACCCAAGGCCATTAATCTCACTCCACAAGCCACCAAGGAACAGGGATCATCATCCCAGTTCACAGCTCCAGGCTAGGCGCTGAACGCCCGCTTGTTATAAATTCCTGGCCTGGGACACACCACTAGTCCTTGGGCCCACGAATGAATGAATGAATGACCCAAGGAACCTGATGCCCCTAACAACTCACATTACTTACCCAGGGCCCAGGAGCAAGCTGCTTCTGCACACTCTCTCTCGCTACCCTAACATACATTCTTGTCCACCACAGCCCTGCTGTTCAAATGTGGCACCTCAATTCATCTTTGACCTAAACAATACTTGTTGATTTACTCACGATCAATGTTCCTGATGCCACAGGAACATGTAACTCCTGGATCCTTGGGAAGAAGTCGCAGTGGAGGGCATCGTGGTAGGCAGATGGCAGCATTCCTGCTACTCACCAAAAGTTTTCAACCCTCGTGCCCTCCCAATTTTGTAGGTAAGGGAAGTGTAGCCATGACTGCTCTGGGCACTGAAATGCCACCTCTAGGTGGAAGGTTTAAGGGCTGGAATGAGATTCAGCATTCTCTCTGTCCTTCTGTCCATGTGGATAGGAATGTTTCAATTAATCCACGTGAGTCCCACAGTGAGAACATAAAGCAGATAAGCAATAGGTGTGGTGTGAGCAAGAAATAATCCTCTGCTGCTTTAAGCCCCTGAAATGTGGGGACTGAAACCACAATAAACCCTGACCTACCTAGACAGTCACAGACACGTGCCAATTCTGCGCAGCGCGCGTCTTCCCTTTCCCGAGCCCCCAGCACAGGGAGACAAAAACTCCATCACCCTTCGGCAGGGGCTCAGGGGTACCTGCTATGAGCCCAGACAGACGAGATGCTTTCAGAAGCGGGGGATATAAGGACAACCTGCACTAGACTTACTAGTTCTGAGGTGGGCCAGGCTTATTCGGTGTAGGAATCAACTTTAATCACATCTGAGAAGACAGCATTATCTAGATGAGAAGTGAAGAAACCCAGTCACACTGAGACCTTGAGCAAGTTACTCTGTGACCTCTCTGGTCTGTAAAATGGGGCATTCACATTATCTACCCTACTCTGTCTTTTCAAGGATGAGGTGAGTTAACACAAGTGAAGTTTCTGGGATGGGCCTTGGTATAAACCTCAAGAAATCCACTATTGCCGAAACCAGTTTGGCTCAGTGGATAGAGCCTCGGCCTGCGGACTGAGGAGTCCCAGGTTCGATTCCAGTCAAGAGCATGTACCTTGGTTGTAAGCATATCCCTGGTGGGGGGTGTGCAGGAGGGAGCTGACTGATGATTCTCTCTCTTCGATGTTTCTAACTCTCTATCCCTCTCTCTTCCTTTCTGTAAAAAATCAATAAAATATATTAAAAAAATAAAAATAAAAATAAAAATAAAGGAATCCACTATTACTAAATGCTAAACCTTCCAGGTAATTGCTATAAGCTTGTTTATCATCTCCATGAGATTTCAAACACAGCAGAGGTTTCCCTGGGCTGGCACAATGGCACTCTGTAGGCACTGCCAAACGGAAGTCTACCTCAGCTGAAGTTAAACAAGCAACAAGTCAAATCTCAAAACCTGGTAGCCTAGAGTTAGACCTGAGGAGATGTTCCAGAACCCAGGGCTCCCTGCCCGCCCTGCTCCCTGGCCTCCTGGGGACTTCACCACAGACATGCACAGTGGCCCCCTCCCCTCCCACAGAGAGCATGAGCTTTGTCCTCCCAAACATGGGGAGGGAGGCGCCCTCACCTGTCCTGAGAGAATGGCACCTGCACCCCCCTCCTTCCCATGACCCTTCTTCCTAGAAGCAGCCTCAAACCCCCAGAGCAGCAGAGGCCTGAACTCCTGTGGGTCTGGAAGCTGCTGCGAAGTTGAACTCGCGTTCAGATCAACACGGTGAGCACCGACTCCATGTCCAGCCCGGGCTCTACGACCACCCAGCTTCAGCCCTAACCACCCCCTCCCCCACAGTCTCAGTCATGCTTTGTTAAATAGATCAATGATCACCTCTGGTGACCCAGCGGTGGGGTTCAGAGATGTAGGGATGAACAGATCTGAAAGTGGGGACACAGTAAGAGGGAAAACCACACTGGTAGTCTGGGCTTCCGAGGCCTGTCTCCAGACCCTATGGATCCTCAGCTCGGGACAAAACTCGGTGACAGCTGGCAGAGACGCTAAAAGAGTGTGTCAGTCGATGATGGAGGAACAAGAGCTTCATTCTGAGAGTGGCGGGGCCCAGGAGGATCCCTAAAGGGAAAGGCACCCCAGAGGCTGGCTGAACGTAGAGGAGGTGCAGGTGCGGGGGTGCTGGGCGGTGCTCTGATGGCCTAGCCCCAGGTCTCTCCACAAATAGGAAAAGGTGGCCCAAGCGCTCAGCAGGCACTCAGTTCCCCTCCCTACTTTGAGGTCCAGAGGCAGGGGGAAGGCTCCTTTTGAGGACTTGGCAGACAGCTCCCCCACCCCTATCAGCCCCAGGGCAGCCCCCATCTCTGAAGGGAGAAGACCCCTAGCGAGCAGACCACAGGAGCGAGGGCACTACAGAGGCTCCAATGCAAGGCGTTCAAGGCTCTGGACAACCTGATGCCAGCAGCACCTGAGGACAGCCAGCTACCAGGCCAGCACCAGGGCAGACAACTGCTCCCCTCCACCACCCCACCCAGCCAGGCCCCTGCACACACCCAGCATGGACTGCTTCTAGCCAGAGACCAACTTCACTTCCCGGAGGTACGTGTCCCAGCGGTCCTAGAGCCAAAGTCCCTGCACACCAAAGTCCCTGCACACACACACACACACACACACACACACACACAGACACTTTCCAGCCACCCGCATCCCTGCCCTTCCGAGCCAACTCAGTAGCCAGACCCAACTCGACCGGAGCTCCAGTTAGGTCAGGAGTCGGACTTCACTCTCAGGCACAACCCGAAACGACTCACGCGAAGCAGCTGGGTCCCCACGGCGGGGTGGGGGAGTGGGGGGGCGGCCCCCCAGGTCCCCGCCACGCTCCACCCCAGGCCCCGACGGCGGGCCCGGGGTCCGAAAAGGCACCCACCCCGGGCTCGCAGCCGGGGACCCGGCAGAGCCCGAAGCGCACGGTCCAGCCCCTCCTCCCGGACCCGCACCACAGGGCCGGCGCGCACCCGTCCGGAAACGCGGAACAGGCGAGGGCGCCCGAACCCCGGCTGCCGGCGGGGGGCCCGCGGCGGCTGGCTCCGCCCGGCGCCCGAGTTCGTCGTCGCGGGGTTCGGGCCGGGCCTTCAGCCCCTCGCGGGCGATCTGGGCGAACAAAGCCAGCGCCGCCCGCGGGGCCGCCGGGGCAGGAACGAGGGAACCCCGGGGACCGAGCCGGACCTGGGGAGCAGCCCGCGTCCCCAGAGGCTCGGCCTCAGACAATGAGGGGCGCGGGGCCCGGCGCTCCGGCGGGGCGCGGCGCGCTACTCACCCGGGCGCAGCGGCGACGGCGGCGGGGCCCGGCTCGGCCGAGGAAGTTGGAGCAAGTTCGGCGGCGGCGCGGGGCGGGAGGGCGCGACTCCGGCCGGCCGAGCGCGGGGCGGGGCGCGGGGGCGGGGCCGGGGGCGCGGCGGCGGCGGGGGCGCCACTTCCCGGCCCGGCGCCGCCCCGCCCGCCCATGCCCCGCCCTCCTATCTCCCCGCCTCCTATCGCCCAGGCTCCGCCCCCTCTCGCCCCGCCCCCATCCGCCCCGGCCCCGCCCGCGCGGCGGCAGCGGTGGTGGGCCCGACCCGCCCCTTTGTGCTGCGCGGGGTGGGGCCGGGGCCGGGGGCTGCGCTGCGCACCGGGAACCGCCCCCGCAAGCGCTCCGCCGGGTGTGCTGCACGTTCCCGTTCGGGCCCCGCCTCCGGTCCGGCCCGCCCAGCGCCTAAGAAAGGCGTGATTTTGGGGGGTCCAGGGCGGCCCCATCTCGAGGAGTAGGGGGGTGACCGGGTAGAGGTGGGCGCGGAATTAGGAAGATGGCTATACTGGCAATCCTTCCGGGCCCGGGAGGCCAGGGCCGGGGCGGCAGGCTTCAGGAAAAGGGTAGTAAATTAACGTGTGTTTTTTTTTATTATTATTATTTCTTTGCGAACTGGGCAGTGAAGGCTCCCGCCGCCTTTTGGCCTTGGGCTAAAAATACCTATCTTTCTTTGGATCGCCCGCTGAGATTGGTTCCTCGCCTCCATGCCTACGTGCTGGCTGCGAGGATTCTTGAGGCAGGAGGTCGGGAAGCTGGAGGAACCGTCTGGAGGTAGCGTGTTCACCCTGCTGGCTGGGTTCTGGTCCTAGTCCACCTGTAAGATGAGGCACAAGGTCACCACTGATTCTTAAACTGTCAGGGGGAGGAGGGAGAGGTGGTTTGCTCTGTTGGGCAACAGAAAATGTAGGTCTATTAAAACCGGGCCAAGAAACTGGTTGCACTACATTCTATCCAACCATCAGGTTAAGTAAGTCAATGTAGAGAGCCTATCTTGAAACAAAGACTATTTAATCCATTGCCAGGTTTTTTTTGTGTGTGTGTTTATTATTACTAGAGGCCAATGCATGAAATTCCTGCAAGAGTAGGCCTTCCTTCCCACCCCCACCCCCCTACCCCCAACCCACTGCGGGCACCAGCTTCCCTCACAGCTTCAGCTACGTACAGAAGGTTGTTTGGTGTAATTAGCATGTTATGCTTTTATTATTATAGATGATTATTATTATTATTATTATTATTGAGGCTGCAGCCTGTCTGTGACACCCTAGAAGCTCAGGGACCTCCTTGGGGAACCTATCCACTCATTCATGTCAGCAGATAATGAGTGCTAGATTGAGTGCCTGATCTGGGCCAGGCCTGTTTTGATGATGGGGGATACAGCAATTAACAAGACTGCTGAGGCCTCTTGCTCCATAAAGCTTATTGTTAGTGCGGAAGATGAATAATTGCAAATTGAAGTAAACGCTGGGGCAAAAGCAAAGAGCTGGGAGAGAGAATAAGAGCTGCTAGTACTTTTGATGGAGCTGCCAGGGAAAGTTTCTCTGAGGAGGTGATGCTGAATTTGAAGTCAAAAGAATGAGGAGAGAGCCTTGGAAAAAGCTGGCAGACACTCCAGGTGGAGATCAGTGTGTATGCTGAGGCCCTGAAAAAGGTAGGCTTTGGATGTGAGCTGAAGGAAAGGCAATGTGACTGGAATAGCCAGCCTAGGAAAGAGGATCGGGATGATATGGGGAGGCAGGCAGGGGCCAAGGTATACAAGACTGTGTCAAGAAATGGAGACTTGCCGAAACCGGTTTGGCTCAATGGATAGAGCGTCGGCTTGGGGACTGAAGGGAACTGGGTTTGATTCCGGTCGGGGGCATGTACCTTGGTTGCGGGCATATCCCCAGTAGGGGGTGTGCAAGAGGCAGCTGATCGATGACTCTCATCGATGTTTCTAACTCTCTATCTCTCTCCCTTCCTCTCTGTACAAAATCAATAAAATATATTTAAAAAAAAGAAAAGAAATGGAGACTTGTCATTAAACCATTGAAGAGTTTTACACAGAAGACTGACATGTACCGCTGTGTGAAGAATAAATTGGGTGGGTGGCAGGCTAAAGTAAAAGGAAGGGGACACTTAGATTGCTGTGGCCTTCCAGGCCAAAGATGGTAGTGGTCTGGACGGAAGTGGTGGCCACACTATGATGATTAGTTGAGAGATGCTATTTGGGACATAGACTTGACGGGACACGTGGATAGGATGAATGTGGGGGTGGGGAGAGGAAATGGGAAAACCAAAGATAACTTCCAAATTTCTGGCTGTAACAAATGAACGCACAGTGCTTCATTTATTGGATGGGGTGGCCTGGAGGAAAGAGACTACATCTCAGGGAGGAACATTAAGAATTCTGTTTTTTTGGCCGAAACCGGTTTGGCTCAGTGGTAGAGCGTCGGTCTGCGGACGAAGGTCCCAGGTTCGATTCCGGTCAGGGGCATGTACGTTGGCTGTGGGCACATCCCCGATAGGGGGTGTGCAAGAGGCAGCTGGTAAGTGTTTCTCTCTCATCGATGTTTCTAGCTCTCTATCTTTCTCTCTTCCTCTCTGTAAAAAAATCAATAAAATATATATATTTTTTTTTTAAAGAATTCTGTTCTTTTGTTTTTTTGGTGCCATGACTTGGATTCGGACCCAAGAATTCTGTTTTAGCTCTGTTGAGATTGAGGTGCCTGAAGCTCAGAAGAGATGCCTGGGCTAGAAGTGAGGCTTTGGGAGGCATCATCTCAGACAGTGAAAGCCATATAGGATCTGAGATCACCTAGGGTGAGGAGATCCTTTTATAATAAAAGATTAATATGCAAATTGACCAAACAGGGGAATGACCAGTTGCTATGACACATACTGACCACCAGGGGGGCAGATGCTCAACGCAGGAACTGCCCCCCCTGGTGGTCAGTGTGCTCCCACAGGGGGAAGTGCCACTCAGCCAGAAGCCAGATTCATAGCTGGCAAGCGTAGCAGCAGTGGCAGAAGCCTCTCCCATGGAGAGTGGGCCTAAGCCATCAATTGGACATCCTCTGAGAGCTCCCAGACTGCCAGAGGGAAAGGGCTGGGCTGAGGGCCCCCTCCCACCCCCAGTGCACAAATTTCATGCACCAGGCCTCTAGTAGATACAGAAGGGGAGAAGGTTCCGGAAGGACTCAGAGCAGTCAGACAAAGGAGCCAGAGCAGGAAAGAAGAGTGGAAAGGAGAGGCTAAAGAGGTGAGAGGAGGACCACAAAAGTGCTGTATTCCAGAAACAGAGAAAGTGTTTCCAGAAAGCAGTGGTCAGCTCTGTTAGATGCCACTTAGAGATCAGGTAAGATGACTGACAGGGAAGGAGCCATTGACTTGCTACATGAAAGTAAGCAGTGAATATAATAAGGGCAGTGTCCCTGGAGTCTCTAAGAGGGGTGGGAGCCATGCCTTGTTAGAGCTATCGTGTTTGTACAAGTTGTCTAACAGGGAACAGAAAGGGGACTAGAAAAGGTTATGGCATCAGAAGGGTTTGGCAGAAATTGCTAAATGACTCTAATAGCCATTCTCCCTCTTCACTCAGCATAGAATTTCAAATTCTAGCTGGCCACATATCTTCCCAGAATAAAAGCAACTTTCTCAGACTCCTTTGCAGCTAGGTATGGTAATGTGGCTCATATCCAGCCAACAGGAGGTAAGTGGATATGTCCATGAGAACTGGCTTGAAAAGGCAGTGGTGTGTTTTCTTCAGCCATTGCTCTTTCCTGCTCACTGGAATATTAAGTATGTAGCTGGAGCTCAGGTGGCCACATTAGACTTTGAATGGAAGCCATGGTTGAGGATGTCAGTGGAACTAGTGAGTCTACATCTGGCTCCTTGTGGGTAGGGAACCAGCATACCTGCTCTGGGCTACCTACCTCTTGACTTTGTATATAAAAAATATTTATGTCTTGTTTAATCCTTTGTTTTCTGATGCTTATTTTTGATAGAATACAGAGGGGTTTGCTAAAAGTGGAGAATACTAGAGCAGGTTTGCAGAAGAATAGGAGAGAAGGCAGGAGGAATGATTCTGAAGAAAGGGAAAAAGGAAATGAGGTGTGAGCACTAAGGGAGAGGACACCTGTGATGGAGAGGTACCTCCGCCATTATTAAGGAAGGGAGGGAGGAGGCAGAGATGGCTCCAGTAAAGGTTGGGATTGGAAAAATGATCATTCACACCTGATAATTTCTACTGACTCCTGGGTGTCAAAGAGTCATGAGCTTAGAACAAGGAAGGAGAGGGGGAAGCCAATTTTGTGAATCATGAACTAGGTCAGTGGTTGGCAAACTGCAGCTCTCGAGCCACAGTTTGCCGCTCTATTGACTAATGAGTTTGCCAACCTGAACTAGGTGATGTTGGAGGTCCTGCCAGCCTGAGATAGCTTCGTTCTGGATCAGCAGGTATGAAGAGGTTGAGGGAAATGCTCAGAGAGCCAGCATGACCTCCACCCCACTTCCAATCAGGCCTCACTTCACAGTCACTTATGACACCTGCCTACCATTCCCAGCTGCCATATGCAACCCACTAAGCTTTACCTGACCCATTTTTGCAGCATGGTGGGGGAGGGGAGACTTCAGAGAGCATCAGAGATATTCAGAGCAGAGCAGGTCCATTTTATTTTCCTTTATTAAAAAATGCAAGAGGAGTGAGCTGTGGGCAGCCCCAACTAAAAGGGCTATATTACAACGGCGACTTAGTTTCCAGGCTAGCCCCTAGAATTGTAATTGACAAGAATGTAGCTGAATTGTAGTGCATGTTGCAAGCCTGAGGAGTGGATTATGTGAACAAAAAACAGTACAGGAAGGAGGAAAAGAAAGAAGTGGAGAGTTTTTTCCATTTTTCCTGGACCTGGAGTTGGCTATAAATAAAATTTTGTTTTAAATTTATTTTTTAATATATTTTTATTGATTTCAGAGAGGAAGGGAGAGGGAGGGAGAAAGAGAAAGAGAGAGAGAGAGAGAGAGAGAGAGAGAGAGAGAGACTGAGAGAGAGAGAGAGACATCAATTATGAGAGAGAATCATTCATCAGCTGCCTCTTGCACACCCCACACTGGGGATCGAGCGCACAAC